TGGAGCCCAATCTGGCCGCTACAGAAGCATTTATATTCCGGTTTTAGTGGCTTTCTCCCAAAAGAAAAGTTGTCGTGATCGACGAGAAGTTGGCGGCTACGCTGTACGCTGGGATTCATAATGAGTCAATGTAAAAAATTCAAGGGACCAACAAAAAGTGGTTTATTTTTCAAATCACCCCACGTCAACATTTTACTCACAGAATGCCGATAGTACATGTACGTGTTTCAAAGGCCAAGCGCCGCTAGATTTGATTGACACAAGCGGCTCGTTTGACACAAAGGAGGGCCGGCGGGCGTGTTGTGAGTTGTGACGTTCTGCGCTGCGTGGAACTTCTTTACACTCAGCTAAATCTTTGCGGAACTACGTGAAGTGGTCGAACGGACAAAGAAGTTTATGAACAAACTAAATGAAATTAAACTTGTTCCGACGTAGGAATTGTGTAAAGAAAGATTACAATTTATGTTCAATTTCGACTATTAAAAGTTACCATTTTGCAAGCATTTTTCAACAAGCTGTAACCTGCGACTTATAAAATTAAAAGATGTTTTCAATGACAAAACATATTCAAGCAGTTTGACGCCACGGCCATATCGATCAGGAATCGATATATAGTAAGCTAAAAATAATATGCCTGATGGTATCTAGTACAACAGACCTCAACAGAATGCATATGTATAAACACAATGCAGTTATCTCCACACTACTAGTATGTTAGTAAGAACAAGTTGTGTTAGGACAAAATATCGCCGGCAACAACTACATGTACTAGTATTATCAATGATAATACTCTGAAAACTTCGGAAGAATCAGCACGCAGTATTCCTCCTCGCATCGTGCAGTTTATTCCACGCACCTTTACATTTGTATAAAATAGAAAACATACACAAAGTTAATCATATGTTAAAAGGGTATCTTGTTTGATTTTATTATTTTTAAAAATGGGTGATTTTGTTACCAAGCTAGTATTTCCAAAGGCTTGGTTGTAACTTTTATTCGGTGAGAACTTTCGACGGGACAAAACAAAGCACGACGCACAATGGACTCCCTGTGTTATAACGGCATTTCAAACAGTGTTTCCAGCGTTTCCAAGTTGCAGACCTAAAACGGTAGCGGATCTTGGGGACCGGACGAAAGCTAAAAAGGCCGTATCTAAGTGGTCAGAAAATCTTCGCAGCCTTAATTTCGTGACGTCGTCAGTAAGACAGAATTCCCAGCACTTGAGTGTAGCGAAAGTTGTGCCGTCGCCTTTGATCTGATGCCGACCCGCGGTTGCTTCAGAGTTCATCAATCAATTTTGACAGGACCGGCGCCGTGGTGTCTGAGGAGACATGATCTGTCCAGAGGCGTATGTGATTTCAGAGCTGTCGTGTGATTTTGGACTCCCATTCCCTTAAAGACCTCAGATTTTTATTTTTGAAAACCACTCTTATCAACAGAGTTTATCACGAGATGTTTGTTCAATAACTGACTGACTTCATACCAAGGACGTTATAATGGTTACATCAACGTCCTTGTTCATACGACAAATGTGTTTGTGGTCTTTCCTCCCCGTAAGCAAATATTCAGCTCGCTACCGAACTTTCCCGACCAAGATCGCAGTATTTCGGAAGGAGACCATACAAATTGATTGGTTGACGATGTACGCCGAATACGAACGAGAAAATATGGAAACCGAGATCACAAAAATTACCCACACAGCGGCTGACGTGTTGCGTGTGTCGGAAACCTAACAAAACACACTGTAATGTTTGCGATTATTAATATTACAAAATCTGACACATTCATACAAACATTCATTATTTCGCGGATAAAATCGACCCGTGAAGCTTGTCGTACCGCCAGACTTACGTGCTGCTTCAAAGTTACTGCATTTTCTGCTCAACAATGGATAGCTCCGTGGACAGTTTAGATGTTACGTGCGATCGCAACAATATCGCCAGGTTATCGCTTTTTGGGAGGACATTGAAAGGACCAATCGCTTCTAGAACGCTTCCATGGCAGGATTATCCTTTGTTGTCGACGGAGATACTAACAATAGTATTGTATGCCGGTGTCAAGTTATATGTATTTACCGCAAGGAGCTTTCGCTCCTTGAGTACCGTCGGCGGTTCTATAAAACTGGCGCAAATGATCAGTTCACGGGAGATGTATCGAGTGCATCGCCGATAAAATCGACGTTTGTCGCTATTTTCTGAAAACAACGCAATTCCCTGTTCGCTAAGGAGACGGATGATTTCAAGCTCCTTTGACGTACCAAGGAAAACACGGAATCATACGTGGAGAAAGCAAACGCTGACTCCACGCGTACGCTGTTTGGTGGCTGTGTGCCACTTCGAATCAAAGGGCTTTGGCCGGCCGCGTGTCACTCGCCGGTCGGCCCGGGAACGCGGTGCGGGGCGTGATTCTCGTAGACGCGCGAGTTTTCACAGCTGATTAAGGGATGTGTTTTTGAAACAAAGGGGAATCATAACAGAAAGTAGCGTTAAGGGAGCGTTAAAGGAGCGTTTGAGAACCGATAAAGAAGCGATAGCTAAGCGTAGTTTTTAGAACAATGCTTCCTGAGAAGCGATAAACTGGAAACGCATTTGTCCGTTAGTGTTAAAATAGCGTTTTTTTTCCCTACTGGCCTCGGATAGGATGTTAAAGTTGTTTCACACCCTACACATGTTAAAGAACCCACCGCACTTATCGAAAAGATTAGGGGACCTTCCCGGTGTGAGTGGTTCAAACCTTACAGTCCGGTATTACGCTGCTTGTACAATGGTGCACGTACATGTACAAAACTGGTGTGTTACGCCTAACGACAGTTTACAGCTAGGTTATGCGAAACAAACAAAACAAAAACAAAACTGCAGTCACACAAGCCATTCCACTGAATAAAGACCCTTTTGTTACACAGACCAAGTCTTTTATTCAGCGATGTTTCGGTGACAATCTGTCACCTTTCTTAGGGTAATTCTGACTGGTTCATGCACAGCACAGGTGTTGCTATGATAGATACATTCCCAAATGCAAAGTATTTACTATTATCTACTAGTAATCCTATTTCAATGCAGTCCCAAATGTACAGGATTAAATTATTGAAGGACAAACCATCCCAGTAGTCGATCTAAATGGAGTGAGAACTGCTCCCAATCAGGATACATAATCTCTGCTACTCCTTTTGGGCTAAGTTAGTTTTTAGTCCAAACTACTTTCCAGGTGAGGTAAGGTTTCAAGACAAATCTCTTAGTTTTTATGGTAGGTATTACTCCCAATCGGTCTTTCCATTATTTGACAGCATTTTTATGCTGATGGGGAACAGTTGTTTGTATAGTTTGTCATCTTCTGACGGATTAAAATTGTTGTGGAGTTTGAAAGATATTGTCATTAAACTAGGTTTAGTCTACCGGCAAAATTTGCCCCTCAAATGCAAGAAAAATAGCTTTTTAGAGGACAAGATTTAAAAAATATTCCTGGGCGAGATTATGGGCTGTTCAATAATCACAATAACCATGGCAAGTTTTTTAATGTATTTATTGTTTTTGTTTACTTCTCAGGTTGCCATGCCGATCGTTCTGTCAGGATGTTGTAGCGACCTGTGGAGGACAGCTGCTGGCCATCGCTGGGATTGAGTGGATCAACGTTGTCTGTAACGTCCTGCCTGATCATGACTGCTTCAGCCCAGGTTAGTTACTTTTTCACTTTTAATTTGGGAAAATTTTCAAATCACCATTATCATAACTAACTACCAGATGAAGTACCTTAACAGCTCCATCTTTGAAAAACAAATTATTATAATAATAGTAATTGTAAAATAAATGGGTAATATCTAACATCATCCAGACATGTTGAGGAATTTCTTTAACAAAACATTCATTTTTGCACTTTTATATCAGATTTTAAGACTGGAGGTGATACCATTAATTTGTTTAGAACATGCTTATTGGAGAAAAAAATCAAATCAAATATACATTATTATAATAAATAAACTTTGTGTAATTTTGTTCTTTGATCTAGAATAATCATATTCTGTTTTTTAAATATTTTGTCTGACCCTGACCTCTTTCCTTATTATCTCACTGAAAAGTGGTCTGCAGGCTGACCTGAGTATTTTATAAATACATGGAGGCTGCTTAAACAAACAAACAGAGAAACAAGCAAACAAACAAGTACAAACCTCACTATTGAATCAACTATGAATCTTGAATCATAAATTAAGAATTTATTTTTTGCTGCTACAGGATTACAGCTGCAGGCTAACCAGTACAATTACTACCTAGCTGTGCCCTGCTGCTACAATTTTGGTATTACAGGTGTTTTCCAACAATAAATATTTTTTTCTCTTTCCTTCCCTCAGAGCTACAATGCGAGCCTGTCCAGTTTGCGCGCTGCCAGGCCTTGCCCTACTCCACGACTCGCTTCCCCAACGTGTTCGGTATCCCGGATCAGAACATGGCGTTGTCGGTGGCGCCGGGCGTGTTTGCTGGACTGGACCTTCTATCAGGCTGCCATCCTGACCTGGAGTTCCTCACCTGCTCACTTCTGTTCCAGGAGTGCACAACGGAGAGACTCAGGTGAGCTAGCAAGGTGGCAAGGTGGACTTGTAGGCAGGGTTGTTGACTCAGAATCCGAAGGTTCTCACTGGGTTCAGATATTTGGCAAGCTTCACTGTTGTTTATTTGGGAATGGCACTTTCTGTTAAAACACCTTTCGGAACTCAAGAAAACATTGAGTAGTTTTGGTCAGAGGCGCCTTTTTGGATAGTACGTAAAGCTATACATGTAGGTCCCATGTTTGAGGAGAGTCGCATCTTGAGCATGTTGATGGTCTCACCAAACTTATTGTAAAGAGCAGTCTGAGTCTGAGTCTTTTCTGGTGTGAGTGGTTCAAACCTCACAGTCTCAGATCTAACATCTTTGAATTGTGATCACACTTGTTTTGCAGTTGCACATAATATAATCAAACACCACTACCACTACATGTCCTACTACTACTACTACATTTACTTTTACTACTACTGTTAGACAACTACTACAGTTACTGTACTAACTACTAACAGTAACTACAGTACTATAATACTACTATTAGACTACTACTACAGAACTGTAACAGTCATAACTACTATAATTACTACTACTACAATAACTACTAAATGCCTTTTTGCTTGTGTTTTTCCCAGACTGCCCTGCCAGTCTCTATGTCAGGATGTAGTTGGCACCTGTGGTCGACTGGTGGACATGGAATGGCTGTCAGTCCTGTGTGACGCCCTCCCTAACTACAGCTGCATTCAGAGCAGTAAGTTTGATTCTTCAAAATACACACTTGGTACTTCATTGATAATTATAATAATACATATCATTTTATGAACAGAACAACTTGATTGGTTTGTGTTTGTTCTCTCAGCCGGGCCTTGTGGACATGATGAGTTTGCGTGCCACGCCCCCGGAGGAAATGTTACATGTATCGAGGACAGCCTGCAGTGTAACGGTAACTGGGACTGTCCCTTAGGACAAGATGAGATTCCATGTGGTAAGTCTACTTGTACAAGCATGTCGGCAGAACATACTGCACCTTCGCTTAACCCATAATGTATTGTGCATAGCACTTTGGCAAAACGTCTCATCTAATGTTGTATTTGAGCATATAAGGTTAACATCCCATCTATAGTTTGCAAATATTGGGTCTGCAACAGGCATAATTCTGATGCAATGTTGACCAACCCATGAAAAATCCGGGTTTTGCGCAGGCACAGTACGTTCTGCTGATGTGCTACTTCTACAACATACAGTATACTACACAGCAAAGAAATCTAATGGATTAAATCCTCTACAGACTCCAGATATAATGCTATAGAGTGCCAAAAAACAAGATGTCGAAAAAACAAGCATTGGCTAAATTTCATATCCACCAACTTTTCTATTCCAGACCTGTAGTCAAATAATTATAAGGCCAAAAGGGGCACTAGGCATTGTTACAGTAACAGAAGTGTTGTTACTGTAGCAGCTGCTATAGCCTTAGTATATTATGATTGTACACTTCAGGCTACTACACCGGTACCCCTTCTACTGTGACACTCTGGCATTGCTGGAGAGTAGCAGCATTTCTTTTTTTAAGCCAGGCAAGAAACCTATGCACTGTCATGTACAAATCACTAACCATGCTACTTCAATTTTAGATTCAAAATTTTTTCTTCCATTTTCCAGCGGAAGAAGGGATGTGTCAGAACTGGGAGTTCTCGTGTGATTCACTGGTTCTGTCACGGAGGAAGAGAGATGATCACAACCACTCCAGCATGGGGGTGGCAGAGGAAGAGGAGGGATGGAGAGAAGAGGAGGAGGGGTGGAGAGATGAGGAGGGGAGATGGAGAGATGAGGAAGGATGGAGGGAGGAGGACCACAGACGCCCTAGGTGTGTGGATGCTTGGCAGGTGTGTGACGGACGTCCTGACTGTCCTTCTGGAGAAGACGAGTCACCGGAGTACTGTGGTAAGGAGTCTTAGAAATCTATAATATGTAGTCTTGAAATAACTGTTTCTGTTTGAATTCTTAATATTTAGTCATGAGAAACTTCAAGCTTATTCCTGAGAAGCTTTGGGTGGCTTTAATTTCATTGAAGTCATGAGGAAAGAGGTTAGGACCAAGGGAAATAGAGTCAACAAACTTTAAGATGGATAGTATTACACATTACATTGTTCAATTCCTAATAAATCTGTAAACATACAGTGGACCCTTACATGTACATATTAATTGGTTTCACAAACGCAGTATCAGAAAAATATATTGCAGAGTTAGCATTGGGCTCATCTGTTTTGGTTATTTATTTAAGTTAGAAATTTATCCGATTCAGTAGTCTTGAAATATTTGTTTTTGTTTGAACCCGGTCAGTCATGAGAAACTTAGAGCTTATTCTGAGAACCTTTGGGTGGCTTTAATTTCATTGAAGTCATGAGGGAAAAGGTTGGGGACAAGAGAAATACAACAAAGATGGATAGTTACACATTACATAATGAAAAGACGTTAATTTAAGAAAAAAGTACTTAGTACATGTACATGTAGTCCCAGGTTATTTCACTGAGTGTCCAATTGATCATTGCAAGCAAAATTGCAGTATATATGCATGGGGTGAAGTCTGCTATCTCTATGATCATAATGCTATTGTGCTGTCCCTGTTTCAGCTGCCCATTATGAGCCAGTGCAGCATGAATCTGTATGAGGGGGTGAAGTCTGCTATCTCTAAAATGTTTAACTTAGTTTGTGCTGTTTCAGCTGCCCATTGTGAGCCAGCGAAGCATGATTCTATATGATGAGGTGAAGCCTGCTATCTCTATAATAACGTTCTGTGCTCTGTGCCTGTACAGCTGCCCGTTGTGAGCCAGTGCAGTATGACTTCTGCGCTAGTCGTGAGGACAGCACTGTGTTCCCTAACCTGGTGGGACACAGGACCCAGCAAGACCTGCTCAACTCATCAGCAGAAACTACAGCAGTTCTGCAGCAACTACTGGACAGGTAGAGCTTATTCTTGGCGTGTTTGTTTGCTTGTTTGTTTGTTTGTTTGTTTTTCAAAAGAAGGTACTAGACATGTAGGTTTTTCTTCTGGTGTGTCTGTTTGCTTGTTTGTGTGTCCTCAGAAGATACTCGACAGGTAGCGCTTGTTTTTGGCGTCTCGGGTTCCCTGTTTGCTTTTGTTTCCATAGAAGCTATACTTGACAATGTAGATTTTATTTTTGATGTGTCTGTTAATTGGTTGGTAAGCTAGTGGGACTAGGTAGGTAGGTAGGTAAGCTACTAGACACTCGGGTAGCTTTTGTTTCTGGCGTGTCTGTTTCCTTGTTTGCTTTTGTTTCGATCCACAGAAGCTGTACTTGACAGGTAGAGTTTGTTTTTGATGTGTCTGTTTGTTTGTTTGTTTCTGTTTCCATAGCAGCTACTAAACAGGTAGACTTAGTGTCTTCTTATCATCCTTTATGTTATTGTTTAGTTCATATAGTAACTGTTTATACAACAAAAAGAGAGTTAACTTTGTAGCTGTTTCTTTACACCATACACCTTTAGTAAGTAACCAGACAAGTTCATTGATTACTAATGAATTTAGAGAATTTTAACATATATCAAACATATCTGACTTACATTAAATTTTTTACCATCACAAAATATCGAGGTTAAGGCAATTTTTTACTTCTGTGGAACCACAAGGATTTCAGCACCAAGGGCAGGTCCATTTTGAATTAGATTGACTTGAGCGACAACAGCTGGGATTCAAACTCCCAATCTCTTCGGAGCAGGAGCAGGGTCGCTTATAAAGCACTGGACTAGTCTAACTTTTTTTTACCATTTTCGCATGCGCGAAAATGGTAACTCAGACGAGATTGAGATTGGATCAACGGATGGATGGATCAACGGTTCCACCCTTCAACGGCCATGCAGACATGCTAAGTCACCGCATGTCGCTAGATGTCGTTGTTGCGACGGCCATGCAGACATGCTGAGTTGCCGCATGTCGCTAGATGTCGTTGTTGCGAGTGCACTTTTTACCATTTATGCCTTGGACGTTTGTATACTTTCCATTATGGTTGCTAATTTCAAAATCATAGTTCTATTAATGTTGCATAACAAAGCTGCTGACAAAACAAACTTAATTTGTCTTGAACAATAACTTGATTTTATTATTTGCCAAAAATGTTGATAAAGATATGTCTATAATCAAGGATTCACAGTAATCAAGGATTTTAATAAACTGCATAAATTATGTCAATGAGCATTAGCAGTGTGGATTAGTCTAGATGTTCAGATTTCCATTAGCCGGCAGTCCAGAGGGTCACACGTCCGACCAATCAAGGCGCTGCAGGCAAAGCTTATTAAAAGCCTCCTTTTCAGGCGTTCCCGGATCGGTGTTTTTGTGTGTGTGTGTGTTGGGGGGGGGTGTATTTTCTGACCAAACGTAGATCGCACGCAATAGAAGCTCCGGCCTACATAGCTGTCCGTGGAACTATTGATATTACCTGGGTGCCTAACTTTCACCAACATGTCTTTTGTATTTTAGGAAATTAATTAATTAATGAGTGAGTGTTTAATTAACTTAAATAGGTATTGCATTGTTTGGCAAGGTATTTTCCATTGACAATTTTTAATAGATCAGGTTGATCAAATGATATAATGTAAACAATTATATATGATTAGTAAAAGATGACTTTTGAAGTTCTCTTCGAGTATTATTTTAGGGTTGAATCAGGGTCAACGCGAAAAAAAATCATGATCCGGTGATCGACATCATGCCCCCCCGCACACTTCATGTATTCAGTGTTCTAAATACCCGTCTTCAGTCTGCAATTTGCAGATAGATTTTCAAGATTTCAGGATAAAAATTACACAATCTGCAATTTGAAGAATGAAAAAAAAAAAATGGTCCTCACAACTTCATATTCCCTTTGTTTGACCCGCCCGGCGCCCAAATCCCGCTGCGATTCAAGCCGCGGCGGCTTCCCGAGCCATGCAAATAAACCTAGTCCTGACGCCACAGCCTCCGATTTCCACCGAGCCAGCCCCGAGCGCATGCCGACAGCGAGGGATGTGGCTCAGATTTCCGACGATTTCCTTATTTAGATCATTCGGAAGACTTCGGGTAGCAAACAAAATGGCCGCCATGCACATGATTTTATACTAGTAGCTTCGCTTCTCAACCGAAATGAGGAAGTTTAACCTCATTTGCAGACTTTAGCGGCCATGGAGTTGATTTGGGGAAGTGCTGAGACGCGATTTCGCTACGGCATATGGGATTTTGCCGCGGAGGGAGTTACGTACGCCGGCAAAAACTTGCTTCAGCGATCGGCTCCAGAAAATTTATCTTTATGCTGCCGCTCAAGTCTTCGAAGGTGGTTTAACGAAGTTTATATAAATAATAAAGCCACTTTGCGTAGATCGATCTCCGTTTTCTTGCGATGGTATGAAAATTCAAGTACAGTATATTTTCAAAACGTTTGATATTTCTTTGTTCGTTGCCACATGTTGTTTATTTATCTTATTGTCATGTACAGTTACCAGCGTGAGTCTGAGTCGAGCCATTGTTCTTATGTGGCCGTTAGCACATGTTGTTTAAACAGACAGCAACATTGAAGAAAAGAACCGAGTTAACAGACATCGGCACGTTCCTTGAAGTCAGGTTTCCCGCCGTATTTAAATAAGAAATGTGTGGGCCCGCGGCGTTTTGAAAAGACGCGACGCGCTTTGGAAAGACCCCGCGCCGTGGCTCATTCAAATTCGCTACATTTTTTGCTAAGTTTAATGTCTTCACCCACGATTTTTGACCGTCAATGTTGACGGTAAGGACTTAAATTTTTACCGTCCGACGGGAAAAATACCGTCAATTGACGGTAAAACGGGCGCTGGCTAAAGCCCTGGTTGAATGTCACGAGGTTTGTAAACTTAGATGTTGGGGACAAAGCCATAGAAGAGATTTTGAATAAAATTATATATATATATATTAACGTTACTTATAATTTAAGTTAAAATGTACTTTTGTGTCTCATTTTTTTATTCTGTTAAAAAGACTCTTAAAAGAGAGAAAACAGGTTATAAACTGTTATATACTTGATTTTTGTAATGTTTTAAACTTAAAGAGTTGAAATATAGAAGTGCATGTTCTCTCATTATATACAATGTTGATGAGAACTAGAACCATTTATATAACTTAGGTAAATTGAAATGATAGGATGGGGAAAATGTTCGTAAAAACTGTAAGCCTGTAAGCGGCGAAAATGGTCAGCTTTTGCAGAAGCACTTGTTTTACTTAGTGGTCGCCATGTAACATGCACTTTAAGGTTGGTTAACCACCTGAATGGTATCACCTGAATGGCATTACCACCTGAATGGCATTACCGCCTGAATGGTATTACCACTCACCTGGGTTACGGGTTACCGAGTAGAACTGTAAAAGCAACTCTTCTCCCTGAGTCAGAAACATCATGATTGAGACCAGCCCAATTTCTCACAAGTAGTGAGGACTAACTGACCCAATAGGAGAAGCAGGGGTTACGAGGCTGGTCGGGAAAATTCCCTACCCCATTTTTAGACCATAATGGTTTATTCCACTTCCACTCACGTGGGTTCTTTAACGTGCTTGAGGTGTGTCTCTCCTCAAACAGGGGACCTCCATTTTAACGACCCATCCGATAAGACAATAACTTGCTAGTAGTACTTATAACTGAATCCTCTTTCTCCCGCTGCAGTAACTGTTACCCCAACATGTCAGCTGTGATCTGTACGTACATCACGCCACACTGCCAGGACAGCAGGCTGGTCCCAATCTGCCGCGGTCTCTGTCAGGACGTCATACGTCACTGTGCCGCCACATACCAGAGCATCATGGTCCCCAGTGACTGTTCCATCTTACCTGAGGAGCAGGGTCCAACACCATGTGTGGCCATGGAAGGTACTAGTAAGGTTTCTTCTAGATGTAACATGACTGAGTGAGTGAGTGAGTGAGTGAGTGAGAGTGAAAAAATGGATGAATGGAAGAGTAAAGGATGGAAAGGAATGAACTACTAGCTAACATTTGTGTAGGTATGCAGTGTTGACTTAGAGTAAATGAATAGGTGGATGGATGAATGAATGTCTTATTGAATGAATGAATGAATGATGGACTTGATGGGTGGATAAATGAATGGATAATGGAATGAATGCATGAATGAATGAATGGATGAATGGATGGATGAATGGATGAGTGGATGAATGTGAATGAATGAATGAAGAAATTAAATGAATGAATGAATGAATGAATGAATGAATGAATGAATGAATGAATGAATGAATGAATGAAAAAGTAGGTTACCATGTTTGTGTAGGTATGCAGTGCTGACTGGGAAAGATGATGGAGTGAATGTATAAAATTGAAATGATCAAATTGAATTAATGCAATTGAATGGATAAATGAATGAATGGGTGGGTGGGTGAATTTTGTGTGGATGGATAAGGTACTAATAAAAATCTGACAATTTCTATATTACATCTTATATACGCCTTAGACCAAGGCCTCGTACAACATCTTAGAGCCCCGGCAAAGATGAAGATGAAGATGAAGATTTATATCATACCCGGGCCGCAATAACATTCGATAATGGGTTCCGGACTGGGCTGTACTTTATGGTACGGCCCGGGCTTCCCTAGCTTCCATAGAACAATTTGAATGCGTTTTGCCCTAACTGCATGCGCCGCTTTCGAAAATCGGAGTACAGAATCCGGATGTCAGAATTGATGTTGTTGCATTTTAGGGTTTAGTGGCTACAACTTTTGGCTCATATTCCATTGAAAGGCATGTTTTCTTGGGTGGGTATGACTAGGTATTCCAACGCTACCAGGAAAATCGTCTACCGCATGGTGTCGGTACAATTTTCTAGCATCTTCCCACACTCGCGGTGCAAAAATCATTCGCTCCTAGTAGCAAAGTTACCCATAGAAATAAAGGATATAACTTCCCCTTTCCTGTGGTGTATTTATTTAGGTTGTAAAATGTTGCAAACGCCAGAAATTTGCCGATGAAAACGGCGCGTCTTGAGCCGAGCGCCCGGGTCGCTGAAACGCGGCCATTTTGTCCCGCTCGCTATTGCGAAATCACCCTGACTTTAGTGCGCTTGCGCCTCGCCGTCATAGACCGCATCAGAATGAAAGTAGCACCATTCGAAAGCGCAGATTCCGAGCTTTAAAATGGTGCCAGGGACATCGGGAAAATTTTATTTTCGGGGGGCTAAACGTCCATTTTTAACGATTTGTCGATCTTTTTACATAAATTTGACCACCTAAATTTCATTTTCCCATTTTGTCACCAGTGTCAAAATGACGGCAAAAAACAGGGCTTTCCGCTGATGTAATCGGTAGTTTTCTCGAATGCACGCCGGCGAAGCGCAACGCTAGATTTACTGATGAAGTCATGGTAAACAGAGCGCTGCCGCGGGAAATACGGCCCGCTCGGGCGTCGGGCGTTCTTCAGGAACAGCAAATACGTGAATGTAGCGGCACAAATACGCCCTATTTGACGCTATGGAGCAAGAATTTCCAGGTAAAATATGTTTTTGTGTATTTTGAGAGTTTGTAAACACTGGATGGGGGGAGGGGGGCGAGGTCTAAGGAAATTATGTGTGCTTTTATTACAAATAATACCAATTTATTTTCTCAAGCCCATACCAGCAAAATTATGTAGTTTCAATGCAATATGTGTACTTGTAGTACTTATCACTGATTATGTTATAGTTTAAGAGTTGTTTATTTCTGTGGTACTTGACATGTAAATTGTTGTTTGCCTTGTTCCAAGTTGAAAATACCACTGTGTATTTTTTCACTTGTTGAACTTGAGGCACCGTGGGCCCCCGGTTAGGGGTCAGCCGGGGAACCTATGCCCAATTTTTTCAAAATTTTGATGGCATTTTAAGCTTATTCTTATTGTTACAATAAAAGTAAATGGCATTTTGGAGATATATTTTCACTCATATTTGTTTAGCCATGTAGTAGTAATTTATCAAGCCAGCAAACCAATATTTTGCCCAAATTCCCTGGACTTGGATATCTACCTACCTACTTACCTTGTCCATCAAAGGACCGGGTCGTCGGGGTGACAGGGTAGTTTTCCTTTGTGCTGCAGCAGTCAGTAGCTCCGGGATTGTCATCCAAATCATTCTCTTCAATGAGCTGACTTCAGTTCAAACTTGAGGTTACAGTATATATACACATTGTACTTACCTGCTGTATTCTTTTTTTATCGTATCAGGAACCCATTTCTTACAAACCTGGGAAGTGTGGTAATGTTGCCATGTGGTACACAACGACAACCATGGCCACCAACTCTGGTACCCAGGAGAGGTTGTAGAGGATGGGGTGGAGACAGTGACTATCAACTTTTTCCACAAAGTTGCAGTTAACTTGAACCTTCTATTTCTATTAGAAATAAATCTTTAGAACTACCCAGTATATACAGTGTAAAGAATGTAATGATTTCAGTACACCAAATAGATGTTAGTGCATGTCATACATTGTACGCTAGATTAATAATGTTTTTATTGACATTGTAAATGCAACTTGATAATATTGTATATAGCTACACTTATGATACATTTATTCAATCAAAACAAACATCTGCCATGTTTCTGCCATGTATTGTGCAAGTGTTGAGTTGTACTTTTGATGCAACATGTAACATCATGGCTCATCAAGCAAGTGATATATGTACCGGTATGTGACAGATTCATGCAATCTTACCGTTGACCTTGACCAAGTTGACCTTGTAATTAGGGCAATTAACATTCAATTTGATGACATTCTGTGGATGTAACATATTGTATCTATTACTTATAGAAGATAACATAATGCTGTACACTGTGGAAGTCTATGAAGTATGTTGCTTAGTGGACTAGTCTAGTACAAGTATTTACAACGCTATATCATGCATATATATATGACTTCGCGGTTACCCAAAATATTGACTTTTTGACCTAAATTTAATCCTTTATGGAAGAAGTACAGGTAAAATAACTGTTTTTATGTAAAAGAAGACTAATGGGTGTTGCTGTGTCTGAAATATTGGAAGACAGGTCTGTTCCCATCAAAGAATACAGGTGTGTGAACTTTGGAGGATTTTTCCCCCCTCTAGGGGTCAAAGGTCACGCTGCCACCTGACAGATTTGTCGGGAAAAGCATATTTTGACCCGGCATATATACATAATAAAATGTCGTGGAAGTCTGGAACTCTGTGATGTGACTCAATGTAGTACATATTATCAATAAATAAGATAAAATAAGATTTTCACCATTTACTTACCTTTTAATCACCCTTCAAAAATGGTAATTTGTTCATTTTCTCAGATGATTTCACAATCTGGAGGTTAACGAGGTCATATTTTGGCAACTTCGTGGAGCCATATCTCAGGAACCGCTCAAGATATTGACCTCATTTAAAAAGCATTTTACTCACCTTGATAAGCTCTTCCAGAAACTGTAAGAATCATCTCTGTATTATGTATTTGAAATTTTGGTTGGAATACCTAGTATGACATAAATATAGAATACAACACGGGGTATTCCGTATCGCCCGAGGTACCAGCCCGACCGCGCGTCGGATCGCCCGACGGCCGAAGGCCGGAGGGAGATCCGATCCGCGGGAGGGCTGGGGCCGAGGGTGATGCGGAATACACCGTGTTGTATTTTATTTATGTCATACCGAACCAAGAAAACACGCCTTTCAATGCGAAATGAGCGAAAATTTGGTGTCCCTAATCTAAAAAAACGCAACAACATCAATTCCAACGTCTGAATTTTGTATTCGAATTTCGAAATCGGTGCACGCGGTTAGGCCGAAACGCGTTCGAATCGTTCTATTGAACATTTGGAAGGCCCGGGCCGTACGCGTTAAGAACCCCCGGGCCGTACCGCTAGTTATCACACGGGCCGGAACACCCGTATCGAACGTAATCGCGGCCCAGGTAGGACATAAATAAAAATACAACACGGTGTATTCCACATCGCCCTCGGTTCCGGCCCTCCCGTGAGTTGGATTGCCTGACGGCCGACCCGCAGTTGGGCCGATACCTAAGGCGATACGGAATACCGCATGTTGTATTCTATATAATTATACAGGTACACAGTGTAAACCAGACCAGCTGCAGTGCAGATCACCAGAGGGAAGTCTGTCCTGTATAAACCAGAACCTGGTGTGTAACGGGAGACCAGACTGTCCACAGGGGGAGGATGAACAGGACTGTGGTAAGGCTCATCTTACTACCAGCATTTGTCTAATCCTACAGTTACTGTAGCAGCACTTCAGTAAATGTCAGTAGCATAGTACTGTCAAGGCTATTACCATCAGCCATCTTACTGCCAGCATATTTGTCTAATCTTACTGTTAGCAGCATGTCACTAAATGTCAGTAACATGTCTGACTCAGTACTGTCAAGACAGTAACTATCAGTAGGATATCAGTCAGAATAATACTTACTGGAAAGCATTCAGTACTTGTCTGTTGCACTATAGTTGTGACAGTTTAGCTTCAGAATCTTAAAAATTACTGAAATGTTACTGATTCAGAAGTAAGACTGTCAGTAACTAGTGGTTTGTATCTGCCATTAGTGAAATATGCCTAAAATTGAAGTTTACTAGAATATATTGTCCAAGAACCAACCTGAAGGTGATGAATTTATAAAATTGATCCTTTATTGCTTTGTTCCAGAATGTCAGTCCATCCGGTTTGATCGTTGCTCTGCCCTGCCGTACTCCAAAACTCGCTTCCCAAACATCCTGGGTCTGCCCAGTCAGGACCTGGCAGTCCTGGGCGCGTCGGCAGTCTTCACAGCCATGGACTTCCTCCCCAGGTGCCACCCTCACCTGGACACCTTCTTCTGTTCCGTCTTCTTCCCTGAGTGCTCACCTGGAGACGTCAGGTGAGTCTTTTTCTTCGTTACTGTAAGAAAAACAGTAGATTACTGGAAACTGCGCATTGGCCATTGTGAAAACAAAGGGTAGAAATAGAGAGTAGACATGGAAATTGCAGTGCAAACAAGGTAGATATTCTTTTACACAGTGACCAGCCCCTCTAACTTGTTCCAACAGCTTGCTACATAATTTATTCCAACACCACATGTGATGCTCAGCCCCTGGAGATCTGTCCTGCTACTTGCTACATTTATCTAAGCCAATACCAGTTACCATGGTGACAGCCGTCTTGTCTATATCTTGACCTTTTTGTTTGGAAAGGAAGGAAATGGAAGAAGAACAATTATGTTTTCTTTCTGCAAACTAAAGGTAAACATAAGAAATCATTGAATGATTTAATGACGGAATAGACAAATGAATAAAGAAATGAAAATTTAAAACAAGTTTATCGTTAATCCTCTATCAAGGTTGCCATGTCGCTCCGTGTGCTATGATGTCATCTCGTCCTGTGGCGGCCCGCTCCTCGGCGAGTTTGTCCACTGGGCGACGCTCATCTGTAACGCCCTGCCTGAGGAGGACTGTATCTGTCCTGGTTAGTCCTAACATTTCCTCCATTGACTTGACTTAAGCCAAAGCTTGGCCTTTATTGTTTAAATAGTGTTCTAGCCAGATTAAATTATTTTCTGTCATCTCAATTTAGTTTGACGTAGCATATTGCTTGACAATTGTTGGGGAGGGGGGGATGCACCCCAGAAATAATTTTGAAATCTTGACCCTGGGAAATGCTATTTCCTTTATTATGAGTGGCAAATTTTTCTGGTCTATGTAGATGAAGCTTGTTTTCATGACATGTCTTTCTATACCTTTACATGGTGATGCTTGTCTATCAAAGATGACGGATTTGCCTTTCTTTTCTATTGTGAGCTGCAAAATTGTATCAAATGACTGAAAGACTGATGGTGGCTAGAACACTGTGTTCAAGTGTTTATAAGTGCCAGAAAGCAAAAAAAAAATTGTTTTTTCCCAGAGTCCAACTGTACGGAGGGGCAGATGGAATGCTGGGATATGTCAGGAGGACACACCTGTGTGAGTACTGACCTCAGGTGTGATGGGAAGACAGACTGTCCTCTCGGGGAGGACGAGATGCACTGTGGTACGTACAGATGCAGTGTTTGTTTGTTTGTTTGTTTTCTGTGACATTCCTGTGAATGCCAGACCATATGTGTATACATGATCAAGCTAGCCAGTTTTCTCGGACTGAATGCACTGATACATATTGTACATACAGTGTTTGTGCATGTGTTTTTGTTTGTTTGTTTATCGGATGTATGATGGTAGCTATGATGGAGTGTACTGTGGTATGTGTACCTGACAGTGTGTTGTTTTCTTGTTTGTTTGTTTGTGATATTGCTGTGAATGCCAGGCAGTCAGATATACAATCATTATGGTAGCCTGTTCTGAGACTCTTAGAATTAATGAATAAGACCTCAGCAATTCCTGCCCTCGGTGCTGAAACTTTGGTTGTTTTGTATGCAGTCAATTTCAAATTAAAGTTCTTGACTAGAGCATGTAAAGATGTGAGTGTTTAGACACCAAGTACACAATGTTGACATGTGTGAACCCTAATTACCTCCATGAAAAATGGAGATATTGTTTTTGGCGCGTCATTGTGTATGTTTCCGCACATTTGTAGTCAGCATAACTTCAGAACGCCTTTATGGATTGTGATGATATTTGGTATGCTGGTAGGTCTTAGGAAGCCAAAGGTCAAGGTCAAATATGAGCCTCCTGGTGGCTGGCCTTAGTACTGCAGCAGAACTTCCGGGAAAACAGATGTGCGGGGTGGCAGGGAAAACAGATGTGCGGGGTGGCAGGGAAAACAGATGTGCAGGGTGGAGGCAGCGCCTGCCCGGTTTGATTAATGAGGTTCTCCCTCGGGAAAAGCCTGCATGAACATATCCAGGCCAAAGGTGCTACTGTGTGTTTGAAACCAAAAACCTGTGTTATTTTGTTCTGTACTGTAGTGTACTGTATAAAATCATTTAGAAAAACTCATATATTTCATGGAGGTATGAGACCTCCGAATTCTTGTTCTAACCTAAAACTGTTTGTGTCTAACAGAAGAACCAGGGTGTGAGGAGGGTGAGTTAGAGTGTTGGACACCAGGCAGGCGTGTTTTGTGTGTGGACCAGGCACGAATGTGTGACGGAGAATGGGACTGTCCATTTGGAGACGACGAAAGGGACTGTGGAACTGGTATGTTTTTTTAAATTTTTTTCTTTATTAGCCCATAAAAATATGTATCATATATCATATTGTAGGCAATAAAATCAAGTTCACATAGTTTGTGCCAAAAAATGACCGAGACCAATATGGTCTATACGAGGTTTTCTTCCATTTACTCAATGTTGCGCATTGATTTTCTGTTTATCTGTAAACTGGCATTTTTCAAATTTCTGATTTGTGTATACAACTATAAGCAAATTGTTTACCAACAAATTTTTTTCACCAAAATGTTTTGTAATTTTGAAAATTAAGTCTAACTAGAAAGGTAACATTTGAAAAGCAAATGCATAATGTTTACCTTTGCATGTGTCTGCTTTGTAAATTATTATGCAAACCCTATCGTGTATATCGTCAGACAGAAGTCTAAATCCTTCCTGCTATAAAATTACAACATGATGTAACCCAACACCAGTTACCATGGTGACAGACATCAGGTTCAGCTTATTGACCTTATTTGTTTGGAGAAGAAGAAGAGGAAGAAGAAGAAACTGAGATATGTTTTCCTTTGGTAAACATAATTAATAAATAGTGTATTTTATGACTTGCTGATCTTAAATTGATTGAAATTTAATTTCCAGGCTCTTGCATGCCGTTCCCCAAAGACGCAGACTTCTGTTCTCTCGTGACCGGGTACGACCGTGTTTCCTTCCCAAACGTGTTTGGCCATGGTTCTTTCCAAGCCTCTGAAGAGTTTGAAGAGTTCATGTTGATGGCACCCATGATTGCAGAGAGTTGCTATGAGAACATCTACGCTGCAGCCTGTACCCTGTTCTTCCCAAAGTGTGAGAATGGTACCAAGGTGGGACAAGTCATTTTCTCTTTAGATTCTTTTTTGAAGTTTCCAAGGGTCTGTAGTGCACTAGCTCAATGTTTTTTCTCAACACAGACAAATTCAATGCCAGGCGCAGAAAAATGTATGCCAAAAAACTGTGTGTGTGAGCATGTGAGTGAGTTACTCATGACAAGCAACTGGATATGATTTTGAAAAATAATCAGTAGCTTGAGTAACAGTTGCTGTGTTTGGGGGTCTTATCTAATAACCTGGATGTCTAACTGTTATTGATGCAGAAAAATACTGTTCTTTCACAAACAGACTATAGAACACCAGCTATAGTATAAAACATGTATGTTTGTTTAGGATCCCTATTAGTGTGAATTTCACACTACTCTCCTGGAGTCCGTAGTAAAAAATCAGACATTCAAGTATTTGAACCATCGCACACCGGTGCATACCCCCACTCTTTTTCGAAAGGTGTGTTGGGATCTTTAACGTGCATTGGGTCTGGTTCTTTCTAAACACGGGATCTCAATCATGGCTGTCTGTCAATGGTACTCTTTCTCATTGGTAGGGGCATTCCAAAAAAGTATCGGGTTACAAGATGCAATTTTGGGATAACCATTCTTCTTGGCTTGGCTTCGTGTCCGAAGATTTCTGGGGCCCTTCCCTCTCCTGCTGCACGCCCGCTGGTGGCTGACATGTCCGATAACCATAAAACATTTGAAAATAATCAAATTTGACAAGAGTATTGAAATGAAGAACCAATGGTCATTTTATGAATCAAAGCTGGGCCAAAGTTTGACTGTACACGTCATGTGTTGTACCCAGGTGGTCCCCTGTAGGAGTGTGTGTGAAGACATCCAGGCCAGCTGTAGGCAGCACGGCATCAGACTGCCTGTGTCATGTGAGCAGTTCCCAGACATGGCTGAGGATCACACCTGCACATCTGGAGACACAATAGCAGAAACAGGTACGTCATGATTTCAGACTTGTGTTCAACCATTTAGCTAAATTTGATAGATTGTAACATTATTGTACATTACATTATGATAATTTTTTGTACAGTATTTTCTTTCATGAAGGCCTGAGAAAGTGTAGTTTTTACTCCAAAAAAATGCAAACTCACACTCTGTGTCAAAGAAAGTAATTTTAAAAGTAAACCAGTAGAGAACATCACATTCTCAACTACTGTCTGATCAAATATTATAGTCATATAAGGTACTATGTTTGCTATTATAATTATAAGGTTTGACTTCATCTTCAAAAGCAGTGGATATTTTGGTCTCATTATATATTTTTTGGCATATCTATCCTTTACCGATGTAATGGTCTGCATGATATGTGGCTTTTGCAGTTAGCATATATTCTGATGATCTTCAAAGTAGTAAAATTAAGCAAAAGGAATTGTGGCAATTCTATTCCAGGCTGTGTACCTGTGCAGTATGACCAGTGTACCAGACCAGGTTCCCTCATCCCTACCTTGGTTGGGAGACTATTGACACACCTGACATGTTGTTCTAACTGCCCTGTCACTATTCCAGGCTGTGTACCTATGCAGTATGACCAGTGTGCCAGCCTGGGATACCAGACCAGGTTCCCCCATCCCTTCCTTGGCTGGGAGAACTTTTTAAACACTCTGACCTGTTGTTCTAACTGTCCTGTCACTATTCCAGGCTGTGTACCTGTGCAGTATGACCAGTGTGCCAGCCTGGGATACCAGACCAGGTTCCCTCACCCCTTCCTTGGATGGGAGACCCAGGATGTGGCTCTAGGAGAGATGAGACGGTATCTTCAGATCTCCTCCTGTCATCCATACTTCATGGACTATCTGTGTCAGTTCTTCTTCCCACGGTGTACTCCCAGGGGACCCAGGTAATAATGGTTTATTAAAAATCAATTCTGTACGACAATTTTGGCCTAAAGGCTGAAAATTTGGGTAAGTCCTAATTCTGTAATCTAAGTGTTGCAAGTTAAAGCTTAGTCTTTATTTCATAAAGGCTGAGTTGATGTTGCGAGATGGCTTTACAGACAAATATGTGTTGAATAACTAAGAGTATATGATTGACACTATTGTATGTTTAACTACATGACATTGTGTTTTCAGCATTGTCAGACAAATCTTCACAGTTGGCCTGACTTTCCTCACTTTATAATCACTCCAACTTTATTCTTCATTATTTAAAGTGTTCAGATTTGCAAAATTCTCGAAAACAATAAAGTCAAATTGATTTGACCTTGACCTTTTTTGTTTGACCTTGATTTAAACCTTAAATTTAAACAAATAACCAGTCACTTTGAAATTCACAGAATAATACATTTTTTACATGTTTGGATCCATGAATTTTTGGAATGCCCATTTTCTGTTATTCGTTATTATTTGTTGTTGATTGCTTTCTTCTTTGTCAGGCTAATAACAATGTGCTAGAGTTGCCCACCACTGTGTCTTGTACTTTGTATGTTGTTTAATGATAAAAATAAATTCTGACTCTCGTCCCCTGACAGACCCATGTGTCGCTCCTACTGTTATGAGCTGTCGGAGGCATGTTGGAATGCTGCGGTGGCTGTCGGGATCCAGTGGGACACACGGGGGTGTGACCTGCTAGACCTGCCTGAGGAAAACTGTATCAGATCTCCGTTTGGTCAGTACTTAAATATGCTTACTTAGGCCACACTGACTTGATTTTATGGATGACATACTCTGAAGACCCCCAAACTAGTGCGCATGGGCAAAAAAAATTCCGGCCAAAGATAAAAATGCTAAAAAAACACAGGAATACAAAGCTGGTATTGTGAATTTGTGGCAGAAAATAGCGGCGTATACGACAAGCCTGCACATGTTCCCTTTTCCGGAATTTATGAATCGGCACATGAACGTACCAATTTACAAGTTCTTGAGTTGTGGATCTTCAGTAGCCTGGGTGCCATCCTCCAGAGTTACCACCGGCTCTGTACTGTTGCTAACTACCATGGACTACCCAGCTCCAGGCATAGAGCCAGGCCAGAGCCTCGGAAGACATTATCTTTTTTTTTTTGAGAACAGATAAAAATTAATGCACGCGCAGATGTAGTCCATAAAATTAAGTCAGTGTGGCCTTACTGTCAAATTGGCTTTTCCCTCCTTTACTGATTGTATAGATAGTACCATGGATGCCACAGGTCATCTGTCACAGTCCTTCTCCAAGTGATTTTGGGTCTGTTGCATTCCCAAACGTGTGCCATTCACAGTGCAGCTTGAAATGTTTGATTAAGGCCACACCAATCTGGGAACTCAGATAAGGTCTTATTTAGGTGCATTGGCAGCCTGTTCTCTTGGACTAAGTGCACTGTGGTGTCTGCACCTGTGTTGTTTGTTTGTTACGTCACTGTGAATACCAGGCAGTCAGATGTACAATAGGAATAAATTCTCTTAGTGTAAGACTTAATGACTGGACGTCAGCAGGTTCTGCCCTCGGTGCTGAAGCTTGGGTTGCTTTGCGGACAGTAAATTTCAAAAGTTCTTGGCTAGATCATGTGAAGATGTGACATTCGTAGACAAGTTTACCAGCTTTCCAATTATATCATAGTTTAGATATTCAGCTGTACAAATAAATGATACAGATTTTGACTCTTTGTCCCTTGACGGACCTATCTGACTATCATCTAAATATGCTGACCATGCCACATTTGAGCTTTACTGATTTGATTTGATTTATTGAAATTGCAACAGTGCAATACACGTGGGACACAGGCAGCTGGTGTTGTATCCCACACATAGAAACAAATACAGGACTGACAATACTCATTTTCACTTGAGTTAAGAAGGGAAACTTGTGTAAAGTGGCACAAATTCAGTAGCATGTCAGGACTCGAATCTGGGAACTCATGGTTCCAAATGGAGCACTCTGCCGTTGTGCCACATACCCCACGACCTTTACTGAATGTCACAATCTCCTTCCTCAGCTGATGTGAAGCAGTGCAACCCTCGGCAGACGACGTGCCGGCGGGACTGGAACACGACCCACGCGGTGTCGGACCCCGTGTGCCTGGAGCCCGCACAGCTGTGTGACGGGAAACAGGACTGTCCGCTGGGAGAAGACGAGGAGGATTGTCGTGAGTAAAGTTTTTATATTTCAGTCCATACCATATGGTATGGATGAAATATATTGTGTTCTCTCATGTTTCTGCTTCTTCTCCTGCCATTCCTAAAAATGGATTCAGCTCTGTCATTTGTCAGGCTAATGACTTAAGATTTGGCATGGAGGTAGAGTGGGCCAATAACCCCAGGCATTTTTTTTTTCATTCTTTTGATACATGCCTTTGAAAATTTTTTATGAAGGTTTTTTGGGGCATTTTTTGACAAAAAATGGATTTTTGGATCCTGAGCCCTGGTATTACAACCAAATGATATGACATTCGGTATAAGGGTACCTTGAACGTGTGTCTACAGAATAGCAGTCACATATTTGGCATACACCACTTCCAAATGACTCATTTAGGGGACTTTAATGGTTATTTTTAGCCAAAAAAGGGCCAAAAGTGCTATACCCGTTCCACGTTCGATCTAAATAATGGCCCTTTCCATCTGCCGTTGGCCATCGAACATTGCGGGTTACACTCACGTTGCACGTAAGTCGTGCACAATGACCAACACATTCAATTTCATGTGCCTAAGATCATTACGTCATCTACAATCATGACGATGGAATCTGCCAACCATCCTATTATGGACTGAAATATGCTGTATTTGCTCCCAAGCAAATGTCGGCCTTTCTAGTTGTTTATTTGTTTATGTGGGCTTATAAGACATACGAAGAAAGCTGTAGAGAATCAACTTGCGTGACTGTTCAGATAACGAGATATCAAAACTGTAAGTTACGCTGCAGTACCACAATGAGCCGCCAGATGGCCCAAAATCTAATCATTTGCAGGTCTCATCAAGGCATTTACCAAATATCGATGAAGATATCCATCTAAGCTTTCTCTAGTAATGGACACAGACACATACCGCCACAAAAATATATAAACCTTTAAGCTTCTTGGCAAACAAAAGAACACAGTTTCAGGTTAACCTAGACTAAGTCAAGCAATACAATTATGCAGGAAAGATACAATACAAGTACAAAGAATATGATCATTATACAATACAGATGTGGTACATTTAGTTACATTTTCATTCCATTTCAGCTTGTGAACCACAGATCAGCAGCCAGGCTTCCTCAGTGGCACAGAGTGTTGGACTGGGAAGACTGGGGAACATCCCAAACCCAGAGAAATTACAGGAAGTACTGCAACACAAGTGTGAAGGTAAGGTCCTGGATAGGAAATATTATGTCAGCAAGAGTTCAATCCAAACTCTGTTTTCTTGACTTCTAACTCTGATAGGTACAAGGACAGAGATTGAACCAACTTGAAGAAGGGTGAAGAAAACTGTTTTTCAGATGTTCTATGATACCCCAATGACCAAATTATTTAGAGTTAAGGATGGAGGAGATAAATTTTGCCAGGCTACCATGTGTCCTATTTATCATTAAAATGACCGTGCCTATTTGCCACCCCTTTGACCTTTATTTGTCAGGTTGTGAAACCATAACCCTGCCCCCTTCTTTTGACATGACTTCAGACTGTCTAGTGGCCAAGACCTTGAACTATGACCTGACCTCTAGCCTCCCACTCACAAGCTGCCAGTCCATCACCCTGCCCCTGTGAGATTACTCACATGACCTTGAACCATGATCTGTCCTTTAACCTCCCCCCCAGGTTGCCAGCCCATTACCCTACCCCTGTGTGTTTAACTGATATGACCGTGAACCATGACCTGACCTCTAACCTTTCCCCCCAGGTTGCCAGCCCATCACCCTGCCCCTGTGTGTTTGACATGACCTTGAACCATGACCTGACCTCTAACCTTTCCCCCCAGGTTGCCAGCCCATCACCCTGCCCCTGTGCCTGGACATGCCGTGGAAGGCGACCAGGTTCCCCAACATGCTGGGCCACCCGGGTCAGCTGACCATCCAGGCCGACAGGGATACCGGCATCCTGCTCAGTATGCTGGCTAACAGGTGTGATAATTTTTATGAAAATGAAGAAATAAACATTATAGGACTGGTATACAAAAACTTGGAATAATCCCATTGCCATGCAAGTTTTCAGTTCTAGATTGTAAGTGTATACACTGTCTGAATGGTTGAAAACAACTGGTTCTCCTTTGATTCAGGGTATTCTAGATTATTGTCACAAGTTAGATGATGAAAGGTGTAAGAAGTCTCTCGATGTTACATGTATGTACTAGCCAGCTACGCCGCTCTGTGTGCCTGCGAAGCTGGTGTGTTATGCTGAAGGGTGGTTATTCTGGCTATACAGATAAAGATACAGTTATTATAAGCTGTCTTGAAAAAGTGGTTCTCCTTTGATTCAAGAAAGACTTTTGTAAAAGCCTTCTGCCTTTTACATGGAGCTAATCTGTATTACGGTAGGAATAATAGTGGTAAGCCTTTAGTTAAGCTCGAAAGCTTGTTCGGTCAAACATATGACCGCTTTTCAACAAGGTCGAGGGCAGGGTACATTGTGATAGTACATTGTATATAATCAACCCTTAGTTAAGAATTTCCAAAACTTTTCACCGTTTACTATATTTTTTTTAAGTAAATGCCATGACCACATCCACTTTGCTGTGTGTGCTGCTGTGACTCCAAAGTGTGAGGCCGGGCGTCGGCTGGCCATCTGCAGGAAGTTCTGTAGAGAAATCCAGGTCAGTCAATATTTTAGAAATATTTTGTGCGCCATGAAACACTCATGATTATAGTGACTGTCATAGACAATGCAAAATCTACTAAGCTGTAAGACAATGTAATACGCTGATTCTGATTACTCCTTAATATTTTGAGTGACAGACATGAGTGACTTTGCTAGAAGATTTATCTAGAAGTTTACTTTAGTTTACTACATCAGATTGGAGAACTCCTAACAATACACACTGGCGCTACATTTATGTAAAACGATTGGTATCTTCTTAATTGTACAAGTTGACAAAAGTCTACATTTTACCTGTGTTGACACACCAGGCAAGTTGTGAGCATGTCCTGGCTAGTCTGGACCAGCCCTGGCCGTTTGACTGTGCCGGCATGCCTCTACCTGAGGAGGATGTCCCCTGTATCACACCTGATACTCTTGTGGGTAAGTCATATTTATTATTTATTTTTTATTTAAACTTTATTTCAGGCACTTGGCTCATATCACATACATACAGGAATATAGAGTACAGAAAAAGGACTGAGTAGCTAAAACACTACTATCTAAATAACTAACTTAAAAAGACAAGATTACCGTAATGCTTCCAAAATGGGCTAAGATAAAAACAGTCGGAGTGGGCAAGAGTATGTAGTTCTCAGAAGAAAGCAACCAGGAAACGAACGAATGGGATAGTTTACGAAGCTAAGCGTCAAATGTGTCAAGCCTGTTATTTGCGAAAAGTAAACTAGTACTGGACTGTCTGCTCACACCAAGCAGCTGCTTAAGGCCTCCATTATAAGTGAACAATCGCAATAATTCCAAGCATTGGCTTAATGGGAAAAACTGATTGCAAAAAAAAAAAAAACAAAGACAACACAATAATCTGTTGTGGACAAATACTAAGTTAACACACTCAGTTAACAGTAGATACTGTTTTTATTAAACATAGAATTACAATTTAAATACTTGAAAGGTAAAACATAATGTTATCAGGGCTTGAGCTACGTTTTTATGCTTTCCTTCACTTCTGCAGGTAACATTGACAATTACTTGCTTTCACCAGACAAATTTTAGCTGTATTTATATGTATTTACAAGGTATGAAACATACAAAAAACTGTTCAGAAGCAGCTACCATTATTTTTAATGTGGGTTAAAAGTCAATGCATCCAAGGAAAATCTACATATTCTTTGCTAGAGTTTTTACAGATGCTGATGACTACAATGTACATGTATGACACCATTTGTTTTAAGTTGTTTGTTTGTGTTTACAGATGTTGATGAGTGCACGACAGGTGCGTACAGGTGCGACCGTAACGCCCGCTGCAGAAACCTGTTTGGTTCCTACACCTGCGACTGTAAGCCTGGGTACGAGAGTACCGCGGTCAACGGAACAGGGTTCCCAGGGGAGTGTAGAGGTGGGTTTGTGTTTGTTTGTTTGTTTGTTTGTTTGTTTGTTTGTTTGTTTGTTTGTTTGTTTGTTTGCACAACAACAGAAACAGGATCATAACGTAAATACAGTTCCATGATCTCATACCTGGGATTGTAGAGTGTAACAGCAAAGTATACTACCCACTAAGAGATCTCAGGTTCAAATATCTATATTCAATGTGACAATGACACACACTCACACACTCACTCACTCAGTTGGTGTAAGGCGTCCCACGGTTGACCACAGCAAAGATCTCATTTAATATTATAATGACCTACTTGAATATTGTAATGAGCCAAATGCAGTCTTGAAGCTTGTACATATGCAACAGTTTGAGTGATAACCCACTGCCTCTGCCCCGCCTGCCGTTTTGCATTTGATTTGCGCGCTAATTCCATCCTGTGGAGTTAATTGGTACCCCTCTTTTGTTTTTCAATTTGCTGATCAAGAGCAGAACGGATGTCAGGCTTGCATAAATACTAAACACAGACAAAACAACTGAAAGCAATGATCAACAAGTTCTATTTGAAGCTCTTGCTGTAAAGTTACAACACATTTATTCTGATCTGAATCTGGCCCCCAAACAACCTGAAGATATATGTAAGTTACCTCCAGCATGACCTACAAAGGGCCCCTTTAGGAAGGGCCACTCATATTATAACCCATAAAAAATGGGGATAACTGACAAAGAGAGTGGGTCACAGTGATTCCCTGTAACACTAACAGATAAACATGGCCTCCCGAGCTCACCCAACCATCATGATGGTGATATAACCTCCTTGGTTAAGAGTCGGGAGCAAGGTCGGCTATAGTGTTCGGCTGTGCCAGTTTAGTATCTAAAACATTAGGGTGTGGACAGTACCTTATTAGAAATTCTTTGGAACATCTTGGAAAAGGTTAGCCCCAACTATTTCCGGTAAAGCTAATCTCTGCAAATTCACCCAGTCTTGACCCGTTCAGACTATATGCCAGACAGTTCCCAGCCTCAATACACATGCTAGGCCGTTATTAGACTCGGTTAGACAAATATGATATACCAAGAGACCATGGAGTTTGGTTAGACCAAGGAGGTTATATTTAACCTCCTTGGTTAGACCCTGTGAAAAAACTTTCGGAAGGGAAATGCTGTCCCCTGGATTGAGAAGGTAGCCTACATAGCAGCCCTGGTAACAGTCTGGCACCCAGGCTATGAGCCGTATAAACCTTTCATTCAATTGTTGTCAATTTGTTACTGTCTGTAAAACATTTTCTTTCAAGACCTGTATTGAAAAAAGGAAAGCTGGGCCGAGCTGTAGTGAACAATTACTGCGCATAACAAAAGACTGCCAGCCTTTTGTCTTGTGGCAAGTGCAAATTACAGATAATTACGTCTCATAGAGGTGCTAAATACACGACTAATTGGCCTACCGACGTGATTGACAGCTAGAATTTGCTAAGAAGGTAAAGATTCATAATCTTAACTTTGAAGCGTTTTGAGGAACTATAGCCATACCCAGGGAACGTCAGATTCAAAGTAGAATGATTGGTAATGTCCTGAACTACCCAAACCTGTTTAGATACTTTTGCTTATCATGAACTGTCTTTTGATATAGGGCAAGGAAGTTAGGGTTACCCTAAAATTATGGCATTGAAATGGACAAAAACATATTTCATAAAAAGCAGGAATAATATTTCAAATATATCAAAACAGTTTCTAACTGGTGACAGATGTAAGAATGTACCCTCCAAAAAGCGTCTGTCTATGATGTTGGCTATAGTTCCTCGATTTACGTTTTCTGTTTAAGAATTATGCATCATATCAGACATAGATATATGCAAATATAAGAAATATAACAACATGAAAGTAATATTTCAACACTCAACAAGTTGTATTTTGCCTTTCCCCCAAGTTTGAACCATTTCTGACCAGCTACGGCTGAGTTATGGCATTTTTCCGAAAGGACCTGAAAAATCAGTAAATTGGCACCGTGGGACGCCTTACACCAACTGAGCACTCACTATCCGTTTATCGTCTCGCATTCCCCGTTGCCCAAGGGTTGGACGTGGAATGTTGCCCAGGCCTGATTGCTGCTCTCCAGCTGATTATGTCATGTTTCTTTCCACTAAGTGCTATGTGGGCTAAGTGCAGTACATGTAGTTTTACATGAGTCATATAGGAAGAAGAAGAAGATAAACTAGACTAAAATTCTACAGAAGTGCTACACTATACACTACTCTACTTTATTCTATTGCATATAGATAGTTGAATGAACATATAATTTATAAGGCTGCCATTGATTGTTTAGATGTTTCTTTTTAAAACAGGTATAGGTTACAAACTCGTTTTTGTTGTACAGTATTGGAAGGGGATGTCATTACATGTATGTACACAAATTAGTCATCTTTCACTAACTGTGTACGTTAGTCTAGATTCAGATACCAATGAAAGAAATCATATTTAATACTGTACATCAGATAACACCTACATATCTTACCTGTTGATTATTCAGACATCAATGAGTGTAATGCCACGCAGCCGGCTTGTGGGCTACATGCGGAGTGCCAGAACTTCCCAGGTGGCTTCAGGTGCAGATGTGACCGCGGGTACGAGAAAATCAACGCCACTCACTGCACAGGTTAGTCTGCAATTTAACATCTGAATGGCAGGTTCCACTGTTGAAATTGAAGTAGGTTCAAGTTGGCAGTAGTACTGTTTTTTGTGTCTGTGTGCATGCCTTTTGTCAGTGTTCAGCACCAGGGTCAAGTCTGTTTAATGAAAAAGTGTTTGAAGAGTGTTTACATGTGTGGATAGTGTTCTGCCCAAGGACAGATGCATTTGGATGTGTATGGATAGTGTTCAGCACCAAGGACAGGTCTGTTTGCATGTATATGGATGGTGTTCAGCATCAAGGACAGGTGTGTTTGCATGTATATGGATGGTGTTCAGCACCAAGGACAGGTGTGTTTGCATGTATATGGATGGTGTTCAGCATCAAGGACAGGTGTGTTTGCATGTATATGGATGGTGTTCAGCACCAAGGACAGGTGTGTTTGCATGTATATGGATAGTGTTCAGCACCAAGGACAGGTGTGTTTACCTGTGTGAGGAATGTGTTCAGCACCAAGGACAGGTGTGTTAAAATGTATATGGATAGTGTTCAGCACCAAGGACAGGTGTGTTTGCATGTATATGGATGGTGTTCAGCACCAAGGACAGGTATGTTTACCTGTATGTGGCTGGTGTTCAGCACCAAGGACAGGTCTGTTTACCTGTGTGAGGATGGTGTTCAGCACCAAGGACAGGTCTGTTTACATGTATATCGATAGTGTTCAGCACCAAGGACAGAGGTGTTTACCTGTGTGTTGATGGTGTTCAGCACCAAGGAATTTATATGTGTATGGATAGTGTTCAGCACCAAGGACAAGTCTGTCTACATGTATATGGATAGTGTTCAGCACCAAGGACAGGCATGTTTACCTGTGTGAGGATGGTGTTCAGCACCAAGGACAGGTGTGTTTACATGTGTGGATAGTAAACATCACATGTATGTTTTTTCTTTGGTAAACATGATTATCATAAAGTTTTAACTTTAAACAAAATGTCATGTAACACAGATATACTTTCATAATCACAGTATTCTGATAATTGTTTGTATTCCAGACACGGATGAGTGCAGTCGTGGGCTGAGTGGATGTTCAAACCTGTGTAACAACACAGTCGGGTCCTACGTCTGTCACTGTCCCCCCTTCTTCAAACTGGACCCACAGGACAACAGGACCTGCAAACGTAGGAAGGCAGTTTTTACTTCACAGAGATTCATTCATTTATCATTCAATATAGCGGCTTCTTCCATGCAACAGTCTAGTACATGAATGTGTACTTACCACACTCTTGGATTTTGATCCCTGGACACACCATCATAACATTAGACATGCCTACATTATAGGAGCTATGCTACATGTACATGATTATACTCTTCTACTTTTTGTGACAGAGAAAGATAGACACACATGTTTTAGCTGAATTTTAATTTATAGATTCATTGTAACAGGGAAATCCCCCAAACTCTTTTCAACAAGCACCATGAATACTGGACTGTGAATAAATGTCCTGTCCTACATGTACATGTAAACACTTCAACACTAAGTCTTGACAGAAGCATGCTTGTTGGGTGAGCGATACTGTCAGAGATTCAAACTCTTGGTCCAGAGGCAGAGGCGCCAGCATCTGGTCTATGCATGCTATTCAAGGACTAGGCCAAAAAAACATTTATTCAAGCAACTCACCCACACTCACTCACTATCCAGGATATACTTCAAGGAACAGTAAAAAAATGTTTCCAAAATCATATCCAGTTGCTTGAGTAACTGTATTTTGGCTTATCTTATTACCTGGATGTCTAACCTTCACCTTCGATATATTCAATGACTGGTTTGGATTCGACATTTTAAAGACTTTTAACCAATTGTTCCCTCCGCTGCACAGCTGCGCTGTCGTGTTCGACCTCTAACCCCTGTTCCCCCGCCGCCGTGTCGACCTGTGCTGTGACAGACGAGGGTTATCTGTGTGGCTGTCAGGCCGGGTACAGGCTGGAACAGCGCAGCAGGAGACTCTGTATCAGTGAGTCTTTATTATTATAGATTAGAATAAAAGATTGAAGATAAAAAGAGTATCTATTATAATTAGAAAAATGGTAAAAATGATAAGATTGAGGATAAAAAGCGTATCGCTTAGGCCACACCAATTTAATTTCTTGGTTAACGGATTTTTCTAGAAAAATAATGGCGGGC